AAACTATACGTTACTATTATACTTAAGCATTTAATCATAATAAAGAAGCATATTAAAAACATAAAAATACAGTTTTTTCAATTTACACAAAATCCATTTTAATAATTCCAGTTTGTTTCTTATAGAGACACAAAGATAATATTACTAGATTTATATCCTTTGTGGAAATTGAAACATTTTGTTATGTCAAATGTTTCTAGAATTCTAGTGAATTGGATCTGTATGTCACTGTGATGTAATTCTACACAATTCTCCTACATGCATCTTAGGCTTGTTATTATCCCTTTGATATGCTATACATGTAGTTTTGCTTTCATGGCTTTGTCTTCCCATCTAACCGCTGTACTTCCTTTAATCCATGATCCAGGAAACTTAAAATCATTGGCTCAAATTCTTGATGATAGCTTCCTTTTCTAAACAGTCATACATGCTACTGCTTGTACTAATGGCTTAGCACTTGGCCTACACTTCATATATTGTTTCTGCTGATTTTGATACTGTCTCTCAAACTATACTATGAACTTGAAAACCTAATCAAAATAGGTTAAGTCTCCTTGTCACATACTCTTACAGCATTCTTTTTTTCACCTAAGCAAACAAACATTTTACTGGCAATCAATGTCCAAGCAAATATTAGAAATTTAGGGTAACAAGTTGTAAACAGAGGAGAAAATGGTGATTATGGGTAGAAACAACTCATAAAAAACCTAAAATAATTAAGCTCTTGTCATTTCAACAAATTAACACAAATGTCTCGATCAATTAGATATGTGGAATGTGGTATGTGAAAATGGTGCTCAGTTACTCAGAAGCAGTAGGTCCAAGGATGATTTAGTTACTAACTTAGCTATGAGATCTTGGGCAAGTTACTTAATCTCCATGGATTTCAATCTCCTTTTTTTATGGGACATATATACAATAAAAGATCCACCATGTGTGCATTCACAGCTACTGCTAACTTATCACAGAGTTTTCCCTCTGAGCCTATAGCTTCAAGACTCTTTTCAATATAGCTCTCCTGGGGCCTCTATCAATTTTATTTAGTTACCTTCTGAGATAAAACCTATAGGTTACCCCTAGACTCAATCACTAAGGTTCCTTCTAAATCTAAAAAAAATTCTGAGTCAAAAAATAAATAATGAAGTAATCCCCCAATAGTTATCTGGCCTGGCTTCATATGGATTTTTACAGAAATATTACATATCATATGAGTTGAATTCATAAACTATTCAAGAGTTCAAAAAATTCATAAACTATTAAGAGTTAACATCCATTTTTTAAAAAAGCATCCAGAATTAAAATATACTTTGGTATTAACATTCACTTTGGAGGGGAGTGCATGCTTAGCTCAAGTGGCAGAGTGCATGCTTAGCATGCATGAGATCTTGAGTTCAATCCCTAGTACCTCCTCTAAGAATAAATAAATAAACCTAATTACCTACCTCCACCAAAAAAAAAAAAAAAAAAAAGAGTAATCTTAAAAAACAAACCAAAAAAGATGCACTTTGAACTGAAAATCAGAGTGAATAAATATTATAAATATTATACTAATTAAATATACTAATTAGAAAAGTTCTGTTTAGTTATCTGTAGGACTAGGAAAAATGGAAAAAAATCCCTTTAAGTATCTATCAAAAACTAAACATACAAACTTTATTCTAAAAGGATAAAAGAAAAGCTTCTATTTACCTACCTGTTGAGAAAACAAACAGTAGAACTGATACAAAAATTGGGGTGTGATAAAGCACACATTCTGAAAAAAAAAAAAGAATGGAAATAATTAAAATATTTAGGTCAAAAGAGAAATAATTTCTAAAACCGGCTATTAAAGAGTCCAACAATCTCAGCTGACATGGTAAGTAGAAGATCTGCCCATAAGAACTTGTCCATATACAATGGAAAATTAGGATTCCCATTTTATTGAAGAAAAATCTAAAAGTTGTCTAAGTAGCACTGCAATTGTCAGCATGAAAATACCCTTGACTGCTAATACTGCCAAGCAATACCATAATTTTGAGTTTACAACCTGCCAACTGTTTTTCAGTATTTTTCGTATCTAGGACAGTAGGTAAGGTTTACTTATACTTTTAGGGCTAAAATTGCTTTAAAATGTAAAAATACAACAAATGGGACTATCAAACATCCTTCCATTTTAACATACTTATGTCACAGCAAAAGCTATGATAACAGCTAGAAAAAATCTGCCATTGGCGTCTATTAGTATAATGCAATCTACCTGTGCCCTTTCATTGGGTTTTAGTTATTATTTAATTACAGGAATATATGCAATATAGGACAAGCACTGTGATGTATTTAATGTCTTGGTAATCAGGGGCTTTTAACGTTGGTTCCACAGAACCCTACGTTCGACCCAAAGGGTCAAGAGACAGAAGAGTATTTCAACATAATTGGTTTCCTTGTAAACCTATGGATTTTATTTTATGCATCTAAAATTCCTATACTGAATAGTTTATACGTTTCTATCAGATAACCAAATGGTAATTCATGGCCCCAAAAAGATTAACATCTGTTTGAAATCATCATATTAGAATTAAAATTAAGACTTACTACTGGCTCAGGACAAAATAACACTAAAGAAATCAAATTAACTGCGTTCTAATTTGCATAGAATAAAACATACCAATTTTAAGTGTGAATTTTGATGTGTTCTGACAAATTTATATACCCATGTAACTACCACCGCAATCAAATTAGAGAACTTTTCTGTCATGCAAAGTTCTCTTATATCCTTTTCCAGTCAATTCTATCACCTGTACCCTTGTCCTCAGGCAACCACTGATTAGCTTTCTGTGAGTACACATTCGATTTATGACAAAATAACAGAAGTATATCCATAGACTGTTATTTTTATTTATAGAAATAATTTTTAAGAGTAATAGCATTCCTTAAGTTCAAACCTCAAATACTGTATCAGTAATAGATTCTAAAATATCTCCATAAAACTCACCTTATAAAAAAAATACTGTACAAGAGTAGCTATTCTAATATAGTAAAAATGACCATGAACAAAAAGCAATTTGGAGAGGAATTTAAATCTAGCTATTGCATAGTCACTGTTCCTGGCAGCTTGTCTTCCTTCTTTACCCATGATTCCTGCAATAAAGGGGACAAAAAGGCAAATTCATTCATAACTGGTAAGTGTAATTTTCATGATATCTCTGCAAATATCTTAATTATCTACAGAAGTCAAACCTGAACTTAGGATCACTATGTCCTAAAATACAGCAGACAGATTACCAAAAAGTTGTTCTACTTAAATCAAATATGTAACTAATACAAAGCCACAATAAATACCAAGGATGTAACATCAATTTTCAAAGTATTAGAATAAGATAAAATACAATTAATATGAAAATAAAATTAAAAGTTCAGGATCTAAGGAGAAAAACTATTTTTAGATTAACAAGCACAAAGTACTAGTTAATATATTTCTAATGAAGAGAACATTTTTAACAGCTTTAACTTCACTATTTCCAATGAATATAAAAAATACACAAGTTGAGTAATTTGCACCAAGCAAAAATGATCATGCTGAACTGTGTTTTGGGTTTTAAAAAATTTTTTTTTATTGAAATACAGTTAATATACATTATTGTGTTACTTTCTGGTGTACAGCAAAGTGATTCAGTTATAGATATAAACGCATATTCTTTTCCACTACGCTTTATTACAGGGTATTGAGTATAGTTCCCTGTATGATACAGTAGGACCTTGTTGTTCATCTGTTTTATATAGAGTAGTTTGTATCTGCTAATCCCAAACTCCGAATTTATCTCTCTCCCATCCCCCTTTCCCTTTGGTAACCATAACTTTGTTCTCCAAGTCTGTGAGTTTGTCTCATAAATAAATTCACTTGTGTCATATTTTAGATTCCACATATGATATCATATGGTATTTGTCTTTTTCTTTCTGGCTTACTTAGTATGATCATCTCTAGGTCCATCCATGTCACAGCAAATGGTATTATTTCATTCTTTTTTATGGCTGAACAGTATTCCACTGTGCATATGTACCACATATTCTTTATCCACTCACTTGCTGATGGACATTTAGGTTGCTTCTACATCTTGGCTACTGTAAATAGTGCTGCTATGAACACTTGGGTGTACGTATCTTTTTTGAATTACAGTTTTCTCTGGATATATGGCCAGGAGTGGAATTGCTGCATCATATGGTAGGTCTATTTTTAATTTTTTAAGGATACTGTTCTCCACAGTGGTTGCACCAAATTACATTCTCATCAACAGTGTAGGGGAGAGTTCCCTTTTCTCCACCTCTCTATTTGTTATTTGTAGACTTTTTAATGATGGCCATTCTGACCAGTGTGGTACTGACCAGTACCTCACTACAGTTTTGATTTGCATTTCTCTAATAATTACATGCTTAACTTTTAAAACTTTTATGCGTAAGTCAAAGTGTGCCTTTTTAAAAAGAAAAATGTACAATATTTCAGATCAGCACATAATTTTATCTGATAAACGTGCATACTTTTTTTCAGGTTACAATAATCCTTTAGGTTTCAAAAGAATTACTACCAAGTTTGGTTCTTCAATGTAGAAGCAGTTTTGATAAAATCATTTTTTCAAAATTAAAAATTTTCATTTTTGTCATAAAAAGATCAAAATGTTCCAAAATGTAAAGACAACCACCTATAGTCACAACTCCTAGAGAAAAACCACTATTTCTGATCTACATCCTTTTAGAATTTTTTCTTCTGCATATTTCATGTGTGTATATCTAATACATATACAAACAAGTGCATAAACATGGGACTATTTGTTCTGTAATCTGCTTTTGTCACTACATTATTGACATTGTTTATAACATGATCATTTATCTTCTTAAAAGAAATTCTTAGATGCATAATTGCTAGACCAATAGGTATACACCTAAAAATGTTATACATAATAACACAGGGTGTACCAATTTACATTCCCACTAACAACATACATGAGCACTTACTAATCTATACTTTTGCAAATTCCAGGCTTTATCAATCTTTGTAATTTTTTCCAATCTCACAGGCAATTTTAACTTACATTCTTTTGATTACTAGTGAGACTGAACACTTTTTTCATGCATTTAGTATTCACTTAAGATTTCTCCTTTTTGTGACAACTGATGGTTCACATCATTCAACGTATCTCTACTTGGGTGTTTTTCTTATTCTTCTGAATTTGATAAGACCTCACATATTAAGGAATATTAAGACTTTGTCATCTATTTTGCAAATATTCTTTCCCGGTTTGTCTTCACAATTTGTTTATGTGGAGTGTTTACTTTTGCCACACATACTGATCTTTTCCTTTTTAGTTCCTTGTTTTATCTGGTTTTGTACTTAAAGGATCCTTCCACATCTCAAATAACAGGATTATTTATTAAAATTTCCTATCACCTTTTATTATTGCTAAAAATTATTTAAATCTTTAATCCATCTGGAATTGGTTTTGCTATAAGCAATTGAAAAGAACTCACTTTTTTCTTTTCCAAATAATTAACTAGTTATATCAGTATTTTTTAAATCAAATAATTTGTTTCCCTATTTATTTGAAACATCTCCTTTGTTATATCTAAATTTCCAGATGTTTGAATCGATTCTATTCACTAGTTTGGCTGTTACCATATCAGAATCAAACAGTTATAAATACTGTAGATTTCTGTGGTTTAACAAATGATATACGGAAGTTATCAAATTGTTATGAAGATCTAAGGGAAAACAACAGTATACATAGTGGAAAGATAATGCAGTTTTCAAAATGAAAAGTTAATTATCCCAAAGAGGAAGAAGCTAATTTGAGAGATACACTAGAAATATTAGACCTGACAACCACCTATCACAGGATAAAAGCAATTCCAGGGTGAGGACTATTTTCTTTTTTAATTCTGAAATTTTATCCTTCACCAAAATCTCATACTTTTCTCTTTTGCTTCTGTATTTGTATAATAAAATTACTCGGGCAGATAGGTCAGAATATGGTTTAAATATGAAATGACGGATAATTCAAATATAATAAAGTCATATTAGTATTCTGCATCCAATGAAAACTTTAGGCAAAAATAGTATAGAAATCAGAATAAAGGTTACTAAATTAGAAAATTATTAAAAAATTTAATTTTTATATTACAGTTTGTTGTAATTTCCTGTCTCTAAAACCATCTTTCAAATAAGTTTCAGAATCTTCAGACTGACAAATAAATAATAACAGTGTCTAAAACAGGAATTTAAAATCATAAGGGCATTTATGTAAATCACAAATTCAGAGTTTAAAAATGATTTTAAAAAAGCATGAAAATACAAAATGGCATGTAAAAATAACGTCATTTCATTAGGAAGGAGAATTACCAAAGATAAAATTTACTAATGTGGTATTTATTTTCTTGAAAATTTGGAATTAAAATACCCTAAATATTCGGCTTAATTATAATAGTTTTCTGATGGGGATACAATGAGATATATTACTCTGTTGCACTTAGTTTTCATTTGCATATTTGATAATTGTGCTTTAGCCTACAAAAGGAAAATTCAAAATAACCAAATAATTATACCAACTTTAAAAGTTCAGAAAAAAAATCAATCACCTATGCCAACATGTGCTTCTTGTATCATGCTTACATCATTAGCACCATCACCAACAGCCAGTGTTATAGGTTTCTCAGGTGAGATTTTTATCAGTCTTATTACCTGAAAGACATACAATTAATTAGTTATGATAAAATTTCAATTTTCTTATGTTTATATAAGAAATATATGTCAGTTATCTGAAATGACTCTGTTGTAAGAAGAGTAGAAATAAAAAAATTAATTTTGTTATATAATAATATGCACTGGGGTTCATTTTTTGAGGGGTGTCTCCATTAAGTATTAGGAATGTCTTTTAGAAATGACACAGCAAAACAGAGTACTATCTTTGGATTTTATGATGAGAAGCAAGAATCTTTTAAATACAGTTCCATTTATAAAAAGCTTAATAATAATTAAGTTTGTAAAAAGATAATTATACTTAATTGAACTTTGTCAGGCAAAATTTTTCTTTCCCAAGAAATTATTCTTTTCATTTGACACAGAGGAAAGATAATTATTTTCCCTTATAATAAAATTTTTTTTAATTGAAAAAGCAATCAAGATTAAATTCAGTAAAATCAAAAGAAAGGTTTCTTTGGAATACTTGAATGTACTTTTATAAAGAACCTAGGTATTTGCTCTGTTTGGTCTCTAGTTTTAGTCTCTATAAATTGGGGTACATGGATTATAATAATTAAAATATTGACATTGTAACAAAATTCCATGAAGCTAAAAACAACTAATGCATAGTTTATTAGATCTATATGAGAAACAATCAGTGTTCCGACATGCATTTCAAAGGACATCCTTGTGTAGAATACAGTTATAAAGTTATCTATATAGGCGTTTAATTGAATCATACTTAGATGAAATTAAAATATTTCCTATATGCAGCTTCATATCACAAGTTAACTGGCTTTACAACTTTTTACTGAAGCTCTACTTATCACTTAATAGCCATTTTTAACAAAGAGAATTTCCACTTCATCAGAATGCAAGAATAAGCAAAGATCAACAGAACCACCTGAAGACGCAGAAGAACTTAAGTCTTACAGGCTCCCTCACTAGTTAAGTAACTAACTTGCAAAACTTTGGTTATCACAATTCAATTTTGTGTCTCAGGAAAATCACTGCTACCCATCACATGGACATTTTTAGCCACAGTGACTCATTTCTAGGTCATTATGAATAGTTGAAACTTCAATATTCACTCTGAAATTTCCAAAGGCCTAACGTACAAGGGTTAAAATTTGTAATATGAATTACTGCCTTTGAGTAAGATTCATATATTGCATACCACCAAATGGAATAAGATAAGGCATTAACTTTAAAGAATACTCTTAGATCTAAATATCTTTATGGGACTTTTTATAGCATAAACATACCTTTGCTTTCTGCAGTGGTGCCATACGACAGCACAGTACAGCTGAACAGTTTCTGCAAACTTCCATGAATAGTTTTTCATGCTCCCTGAGTGCAAGAGACAGACTGGTCCCATCTACCACCAGACCATGCTGAATCACATGATCCTCTGTAATTCTAAAAAGGAAAATAATTATATTTTCTATAAGATACTTTGAAGCCATATTATTTACACTCATTTAGTAAACAAAAGATTCTTACTGAAAGATGGACCATTCATTCACTCACAGACTTCACTGTTACAAAACTAGTATCTCAAGGAAGAACTAAGTTGTACTACCTGAAAGTTAAGATTAAGCAGAACTGAGAGTAGTATGATGAGTAAAAGAGATGATAATCAACTTTGCAATGAACTGGTATTTAGATAGTTATGAAATATGGAAAAACACCTCACAGTTCTAGCACCTACTAGGTAGCAACTGCTCATCTCTGTAGCTTCATGTCTCAATACTTCCCACACCTGTTCCCATCTATCCATTCTCTAGTTATACTTAACTACTATCAAGTCATCAAATGAGTCTTTTTCTCAGCTCTGGGAATTTGCATACACTGTTCGCTTTGCTTCTTGGTGTTACTCTCTGACCAGTTCACATTTCATCTCAGGAGACAACAGTCATGAATTCTTCCATAGAGGTAGAGCTTAGCTGTGTAGGCTAAGCTTCCCTCTTCTATCCACTGACAGCCCTCTGTTCTTGCCTCAGTTGTGAGAAGTCTATGACAATATATTCACTTCTATTTTTCCTACACACTGTAAGTATTCTGAGAGTAAACAATACATTTTATATGACTCCGTTCTGAATGCCTAGATAGGAGACAATTAATAATGCTTGTGGAGGAATGGATATACATACTAAAGCTTTCAAAGGTAAGGAATTCTTTCCTCTACCCAAGATTTTTAGACTAGATAACTTCCTGAAAGTCTGTAAATAAGAATCCAATTGACTTACGTGTATAACTCAGAAAACACATTCCACCAAAAAGATGGTATCTCTAAAATATAATACAAATTTCACATAGCAAGCCTAAAATTCATTTTAAGATATAACCCTCAATTTATAATACAGCTTTTGCACAAAAAGAGAAATGAACAATATCCATGATCTTAACACTCACTAAAAGCACATATACAGAAGATTAAAAAAAATTCTAAAATATGTAAATATACATAAAATAGATATACAAGTTTATACTGTATAGCATAGGGAATTATATTCAATATCT